GGACTTGGGAGGAGCATCTCGTTCATGTTGAGAAGGTATTTGAAGTGTTGCAGGACGGACAGCTGAAGCTCAACGGGAAGAAGTGCGAGTTCGGGAAGGACGAGTTGGTGTATCTCGGTTTCATCGTAGGGAAGGGCCAGCGGAGGATAGATCCAGGCAAGGTGGAGGGGATCACAAAGTGGCCGACGCCGAAGACAGTGACTGAGGTGAGGAGCTTCATGGGGGCTTGCCAGTATTTGCGCAAGTTCATTCGACATTTTTCGGCTTATGCGGCACCGTTACATAGCCTCACAAAGGCTAAAGTTCAGTTTGAGTGGGGAAGGACGCATGAGGAGGCTTTTCAGTTGCTAAAAAGGAAGATCTCGGAGGCACCGGTGTTGGCGTTGCCGAATTTGCAGCGGACTTTCGAGGTAGAGACCGACGCGTCTAATTATGCGATGGGCGCGGTGTTGATTCAGGATGGGAAACTAGTGGAATACTACTCTGAGAAGTTTTCGGGTGCTATTGCGAACTACCCAACCTACGACAAGGAGTTCTATGCACTATATCAAGCAATTAAGCATTGGAGGGTGTACTTGTTAGGGAAGGAGGTGGTCGTGCATTCGGATCACAAGCCGTTGGAGTTCTTACATGCCCAAACAAAGCTACACCAGGCACGACACATGAAGTGGATGTCGTATTTGATGACTTTCAACATCATTATTAGGTACAAGAAGGGGGCGACGAACAAGTTGGACGATATGTTATCTCGTCCGCCGATAAGGTCTTTATTGGTGGCGACGCGTATTCAGCTCTTGGTTCTTTTGGAGTATGTACAGCTGTATGCATCCAGTGGGGACTTCGGTAGTGTGTTTGAGCAGGCGAAGGCTGGTCGAAAGGGGGAGTATGCACTTGGAGAAGACGGCTTGTTGTATCGTGGGACATCACTATGCATTCCGGAAGATGGTGATAGGTTGCAGTGGATTCGGGAAGCGCATACCTCGCGTGTGCAAGGGCATTTTGGCATTCAGAAAACGCTTCTCAATCTACGGCGACATGTGTTTTGGCCACGGATGCTTGATGATGTGACCAAGTATGTTGGAGGGTGTAAGTTATGCTGTATTTCGAAGCCTTATAACAGGAAGAGGGGATTGTACCTACCATTACCGGTTCCTTCTAGGCCGTGGGAGAGCATTTCTATGGATTTTCTAGGAGGGTTGCCGACTACGAAGCGCGGGCATGACTATTTGTACGTTGTGGTGGACCGGTTCAGTAAGATGGTGTTTTTGATTCCTTGTAAGAAGACCGTGACGGGAGCGGGTGCAGCACAATTGTTCTTTGAGCATGTGTGGAAGCACTTTGGGTTGCCGAGCTCGATTATTTCGGATCGGGATAGCCGTTTTCTCGGGCATTTTTAGGATTCTTTGTGGAGTTTGATGGACACTAAATTGAAGAAGAGCACGACCTTTCATCCACAAACAGACGGACAAACGGAGGTAGACAACCGGACTATGGTGCATATGTTGCGGGGGTATAATTCCAGGCATCCTAAGACTTGGGATGAGAGTTTACCATATTTGCAGTTTGCTTTTAATCGGGCAATTCATGGATCTTCCGGAAAGTCACCATTTGAGACTTGTTATGGATTTTTACCGCCGAGCCCGTTCGATCTTGTGTTTTCAAGTGAAGCCACAGTGGACGGCAAGGAGGGGAGTGAAAGACAACGTGCTCAGCGATTTCTCGAGAAGATTGCAAATATTCATGCCACGGTTGAAGCTCAATTGAAGAAATCGCAAGCTAAGTACAAGGCGAAGCATGATCAACATCGGGTTCCTTGTAACTTTGGTAAAGGCGATATGGTATGGCTAAAATTGAGTAAGGAGAGGCTTAAAGGAGAAGGGAAGAAGTTGAAGCCTATTCGTTATGGTCCATTTCGGATTATCGATCAGATTGGTGACAACGCTTTTCGTTTAGATTTGCCACCTTACTTAGGCATGTATTCAGTGATCAATGCTGAGTACTTGAAGTTGTTTGAGCCTCCATTATTGGATGATGAAGGTGATGCCAAGATGATCTTACCGCATGTTGAAGACTTGTGGTTTGATAGAGAGGAGCCACTGAAAGAAGATTGCATTTTGGAACGGAAGACGACCAAGACGAGGCGGGGGACGAAGGAGTCGTTTCTCATCGGGCGTCAATGTCAGGTTCCTAGCAAGGCCAAGTGGTTCAACAGAGAAGAAGGGGCTCACGAGTTCCCTTAGCTGAAGTTCTAACTTGAATGGGACTTCAAGTTCCTAAAGGGGGGACCCATGATACAGGTGTATCTTCTCTTCGGGAGCTTAGCGATCCTCATGGGAGCTTGAGGATGGATGATTCTCATGGTATCTTGAGAATAGAGTAGAGGAGTCGTGGACGAGGTCATTGGAGGCGACGAAGTCGAAGGATTTGTCAAAACTGTAGGAATTACAGTTGGACTCTGGCCGGTCGACCGGCTTGGTCACGGCGGTCGACCGCTTAGTGCACAGGCCCAGACTATGTCTCGGGACTGAGAGCGGTCGACCGATGATAGCGTTGCGGTCGACCGGAAACACTGTAATCGATTTTCTAGTTTTTCGTCGTTCTGACCGGTCGACCGCCTTGGGCACTGCGGTCGACCGCGTAGCGGTTCCGGGCCTGGGTTTGTTTCCTGCTCCAGTTGGGATTTCTGTTTAGTATAAATAGAAACACGACTTTTCTAGGGGAGAACTCAGATTGTAATCAGAAAAGAGATCAGGGAGGTTGTTCTTTGATCTAGAGAGATTGTGAGAGATAGATTTTGTAAATCCAATTGATTCTCATAATCTAGAGAAGATATTTTTCTTCACCCTAATTATAGCTCTTGTGTTCTTCAGTCGTTTTCTTCTTTACCCACTCTTGATAATTCCGCGATCAAGAGTGCTTGCACGGCGACTCGTATCATACCATTAGGAGTTGTCGTTAGAGATTTTGCTTTCCTCGTGTGGATAGAAGATCTATTTGGAATCCGATCTAGGGTTTAGTTGGGTGGTTCCTAATTTCTATCAAATTTATTCTTTCTCTATAATTTGGAGTTAGTTCGCAATGGGAGAAGAAGGTGAAAGCAGCAAGTCAATGACGAGTATAATACAAGTTGGTTTTCAGAACACTAAGATTAGTGTGGTGAAGTATGATGGTAACATTAACTTTGGTTTGTGGATGAGCGACGTACATGATGCGCTCAATACTTAGAATTTGGAAGAGACCATCATGGTCCACGAGAGGCCACCTAAATATGATGAGACAATATGGGAGAAGATGAATAGAAAAGCGTGTGGGGTGATCAGGTCCTGTTTGGAATAGGAACTAAAATATGATATGATTGTGGTAACGTCTGCAATGAAGATGTGGAAAATTCTCAACAACAAGTATCTCACGAAGAGTGTTGAGAATATGTTGCACTTTCTGCGAAGACTCTTCAGATTTCAGATGTCCAGAGGCACATCACTAGCGACGCATGTGAACAACTATACTAAGTTGTTGTCGGACTTGGCAAATATTGATGAGAAAATTTCGGATGAGTACAAGGCTATTATCTTATTGGGCTCCTTACCGGATGAGGAGTATGATACCTTTGTGCTCACTTGGTTGAATGAGAGATCTTCTATCAACTATAGTGAAGTAACTAACGCTTTGACGAACTATGACTTGCGGAGGAAGGACAATGAGACTTCCCGCGCTAGTACTTCAGGATAGGCCTTGTCAACGAGAGGTAGAAGCCCATATCCGAAAGATGATAATAGAGAAACGTCAAAGTCTAGAGGTCATCACCAGTTAGTAAAGAACCAATGTGCATTCTGTAATGAGCAGGGACATTGGAAGAGAGACTGTCCGAAGCTCAAGGAGAAGAAGAATGGCAAGAAAAAGGGCCCGAAGGCCAATGAGGTAAATATTGCAAAAGGCAATGATTCTGATGATTCGAGCTTTTCTCTACTGATTACTCCAGAAGTGAACCACTTGGATGCATCAGATTGGATGCTTGATTCCGATGCTATCTTGTAGGCTATCTAAAAATTACTACAGATAGCTTATCCCCATCAAACACCGATGATGAAGGTTACAATCTGATGACTTTCAGAAGGTTACAATTTGAATACTTTCACGTAGATCGATGAAGGTTACAATCTGACGACCTTCATAATAACTGATGAAAGCTCTAATCAACAACATTCATAATCAACATCGGGAGTTACAATCTGACGACTCTCACATATTAAAGAGTTAAAGCAAAGATTACAAAACGACGATATTTACAATGCTCTGACAGAAAGAGACTACAAATCGACGGTCTCTTCAAACCAAGACGTGAAAGTCCTCCTCGTGTACCATCATCAAGACGTAACACCAATTCGACCGCGGACGTAGGTCAAACCTGGCTGTAAACGCAGCTCACATTCAGCTCCAGATGCTGCAAACGCAGCTCAGATCTAGCTGCCAACGCAGCTCATGTTCGACCGTAAATGCAGCCTCCGAAAGCTGCCAAAGCAGCTTTCATCCGCTGCCAAACACAACTTCCAACAAACAGCCAAATAGCCTCCGAAAGCTGCCAAAGCAGCTTTCATCCGCTGCCAAACACAACTTCCAACAAACAGCCAAATGAGCTTCCAGTCGCTACATCCGAGCTTTCAGACACTGCGTTCAACCTTCCAGACACCGTGTTTGAACGCAGAATTCACACCAGAATGCAGATTTTGCATTTTACTCATTCAAACACGAGCTGAACGGGTTTCCCATGATCTGAGGGGATCACAACTCCACTCAGGAGTGATTTAAGGGGCAGTTACATCCCATTAGCCCCACTTAGGAGCGAATTAAGGGGGGGCGGTTACACCCCTTAATCCCTTATAAATAACTAAGAAATCAGCTTAGTTCGGATTCTGGAGCTGGAGCCTTCTCTTTGGCAGCAAATGTCACAACCCTAATTTCCGAACCTCAAAGGAATATTAGATCCGGACTAAACCTGTGAAAAGTCCTCCAAAATATACATTCATTAAAAGAGCACTAAAACAAATCTCTTCATTGAACTAAAACCAACAATAAAAATTCTCTTTAATCCCAAAAGTCAAACTAAGCTAATTAACTTGATAAAAATAAATATTCCTCAACTCCAAATAAATCTCAACCTAAAGAAAGAATCTCATTATTACAAACTCTCAATTCATCAACTAAACATTAAAGACTTTATTTAACCTTCGCCTAGAAGACAATAACAATCTCGAATTATTCTTTGCTTTGTTCTAAGAATTTGGCAAATCCTCAATTCCACCTAATCCCGAATCTCTGAAAAGAATGAAAACAACAATGAGTTCACAACTTAATAAGTGGATAAATTCATACATTATACACTGGTTTTGCAAAACTAAAAATAAATTGACTTGATAAACAAAATACTAAAATAGTAAAAATTATAATGCAACATTTCAAAATATATACATGCAATGGAAATAAGCAGGCCACGTCTCAATGCGGTCAACACTTTGATACTCCGGTTGACTTGGCAAACCCCACTATTATAAAGCCCGTGGTAGGGACGATGAGACCCAAACTTGGGCTCTTAGCGCTAAAATAGAAACCTCATAGACGCACATTGAGCCCTGTGTTAATAACTTGCTTATATCTGACATATACCGGTATATTGACCTGAGATGCATACGCCTTAAGAAAATTAAACAAAGTTTGCATAGCTAAATACATTATATAAAAATGCCAAAGGCTAACCGATAGTGAAATAAATCAATCACATATGCATCTCAATCTACTACAATATGAAAATCATAAAAATTGATAAAGAAAATAAGCATAGGCTTATACTAAATAATCACATGCATTTATGCAATCAACAATTAGTATGCGAGCAACCATATAGAAGGGTATAATCCATCAGAACAAACTTACATATAGTCAATATAATTTTATATGAAAAATACGCAGCGAATAATGTACAAATTCACCACTTACCTCAAGTCCGAAAATAATCCAACTACCCCTCACAACACCTCCTCGGAGTCACTTGGAACCCCTATAGAATACATATAAATATGTATCAATACTATTGTAAAGCCTCAGCTCAAACAACTGTTATAAAATGTTGAATAACTGATTCAAAATTTGTTATTAGGTTGTTATTTTGTTAGTGGAGTTGTTGCTAATTAGTTTAGATTTTTATGGGATTAAGTTGTTTTGTAAGACTATATAAAGGTACTTTTAGTTGATGAATAATATAGCAAAAAAATAATATAGAAAAATATTATCTCCTCTCTAATTTCCAACATGGTATCAGAGCCTTATTTCTCGGATGCGCAGATTTTATGAAGGAGCAAGATCAGAAGATGAGGCTTCGTGGCCTCGACGCCCAGAAATCCAACATCGCCGCTGGCGTCGCCGAATCTCGTATCCTACGCACTCCGCTTGGCCCTAAGGACATGGACAAGATGAAGCAGAGCCCTGCCGGCGACCTCATCATCACAAACGATGGGGCAACATTCTTGGAACACATGCACGTGGACAATCAGATTGCAAAGGTGATGGTGGCTAATCATCCAGATGCAGGAGGTAGCGATTACTTAGCTTCGAAGATTAACGAAGACAAGGACATTATGCTTGGAAAGACCAAAGGCGGAGGCTCTGCCTTCTAACTCATTGTTATGTATCATTGCTTAAATTTTGGAGAATCATGGTGAGATGTGCACCATGGAGAGATTGGACAAATATTTGTGGAGAGATGTGCTCCTTTAAGAGAATGTTGGTGATTATGTGCATCAACAAGATTGAGATGAGAAGTGCATCACAAAGTGGAGAGAAGTGCTCTATGAAGATTCAAGAGGAATGACAAGAAATTTTGAATCAAGGGGGAATGTTGAATAACTGATTCAAAATTTGTTATTAGGTTGTTATTTTGTTAGTGGAGTTGTTGCTAATTAGTTTAGATTTTTATGGGATTAAGTTGTTTTGTAAGACTATATAAAGGTACTTTTAGTTGATGAATAATATAGAAAAATATTATCTCCTCTCTAATTTCCAACATAAAATAATCAAAAGGCCTACTAACTAATAGCGCGCCATATATTCAGTCACACACCCATACTACAGTCAAATAAATATGCACCCATAAACATATTCTATCAATATTCTAATATAACTAGGGTCATGAATAGCCAACAATCAATTAACTATGTATAACATTAAACAAAGGGAAATAGCAACAAGTGATCTCTTTGTCTGCCATGGCCAAGAGCTCAATAAAAGAGCAACAACTAATTTTGTTGTCTGCCATGGCCAGAATTAAACAACAATGTCAACATCACCTAGAATAGGATCTAAATAACCAAAAATAAGATGTGTGCATAGCCTTCATCTACAACAAATAATATTTTACAACAATATTAGAAGCAATACCTATTTCTTGTGTAGAGTTGATCAAATCACCACGTCCTCCCTCTCAACTCAAACTGATTTTTTATTTTGTTGTGCGGCGGGACAAGGACCAGAGTAGAGAAAAAGGACGACGGGGATACAATGAAGGAATTAGGGTAGGGTTTCTAGGTATTTATAAAGGTTCTTTTTGCTAATAAAACCCTCTAATAAAAATTTATATTAAAACCCGTACACTTTTTTCTTATATATATCTATCTAAGGAAAACTTAGAATTATTACATACTACCCCTCTTAATAGAAGTTTTGTCCTCAAAACATGGACATACCTGAGTCTTCAAATAAATTAGGATATTTTTCCTTCATCTCATCTTCATGCTCCCAGGTAGCTTCCTCAGCTGAATGATTTTTCCATAACACCTTCACTAGCTTAACAATTCTTGATCTCAAAGCTCAGCTGAATGATTTTTCCATAACACCTTCACTAGCTTAACAATTCTTGATCTCAAAGCTTGCTCCTTCTGGTCCAAAATTCTAACTGGATACTCTGAATATGTCAAATCTTCCCTGATCCCAAGGGCTCATAATTCAATACATGACTCGGATCAAGTACAAACTTCCTCAGCATTGATACACAGAAAACATTATGAATTTTAGCCAACTCTGGGGGCAATGTAATTTTGTATGCTACAGCTCCAACTCTCTCCAAAATCTCAAAAGGTCCAATATATCTCGGATTCAACTTGCCCTTTCTTCCAAATCTCATCACTCCCTTAGTAGGTGATACTCTAAGGAAAATATGATCGCCAACTTCAAACTCTAACTTTCTTCTTCTATTATCGGCATAACTCTTCTGCCTGCTTTGAGCTATACGAAGCCTCTCACGTATCTGCTGAATCTTCTCAGTAGTAATCTGTACTATCTCAGGACCAAGTAGCATTCTTTCTCCTACCTGATCCCAACAAATAGGTGATCTACATCTCCTACCATACAGTGCTTCATAAGGGGACATATCAATACTAGAGTGATAGCTATTGTTATATGCAAACTCCACCAAAGGCAAATGTTTTTCCCAGCTACCCTTCAAATCCAAAACACAAGCACGAAGCATATCCTCCAATGTCTGTATAGTCCTCTCTGATTGCCCGTCCGTCTGCGGATGATAAGATGTGCTAAAACCCAATTGTGTTCCCAGAGCATTATTCAGACCTTGCCAGAATCTAGAACGAAATCTCGAATCTCTATCTGATATAATAATCACTGGTATCCCATGCAATCTCACAATCTCCTTAACATATAATTCAGCAAGCTTCTCAAGAGAATGAGTAATTTTACAAGGCAAGAAATGAGCCGATTTAGTAAGTCGATCAACAATCACCCATATAGTGTCATTACCACTCTGACTCCTAGGAAAACCAGTCACAAAATCCATTGTTACCTCCTCCCACTTCCACACAGGAATTGGGAGAGGCTGAAGTAGTCCGTCAGGCTTCTGATGTTCAATCTTGACTTGTTGGCACACCAAGCACCTAGACACAAATTCTGCAATATCTCGCTTCATGTCATTCCACCAAAATGTTTCTCACAAATCTCTATACATCTTCGTTGATCCAGGATGAATTGTATATGCTGAACAGTGCGCCTCCTCTAGGACTTCTTTCTTCAACTCCGGATTATTAGGTACACATAAACGGTTTTTAAATCTCAAAACTCCATCATGAACTACAAAATCATGTTGAAGTCCCTGTTCCACATCTGCTTTAATTTTTACAAGAACTGGATCATCACTTTGTGCAGCCACAAGCCTGACAATCAAAGCAGGCTGAATTTTAAGATGAGCAAATATCACTCTAGATCCTCAAAGTCGAATATCAATATCAAGTCTCCTCAAGTCCTCCAACATATGCTTCTGATTTGTGATCAAAGCAACCACACTAGCATTGGACTTCCTACTCAAAGCATCAGCTACCACATTTTCCTTACCGGGATGATAATGAATATTAAGATCATAATCCTTCATTAACTCCAACCATTGCCTTTGTTTCATATTTAACTCCTTAAGTGTGAAAATGTATTTAAGGCTCTTATGATCTGTGTAGATGTCACAAGTCTCCCCGTACAAATAGTGCCGCCAAATCTTCAATGCAAAGATAACAGCACCTAACTCCATATCATGTGTTGGGTAGTTCTTTTCATAAGGTTTAAGTTGTCTGGAGGCATATGCTACTACTTTCCCATTCTGCATAAGAACACAACCGAGGCCAATATGAGAAGCATCACTGTATATCACAAATCCACCTGATCCAGAAGGAATCGTGAGTATAGGTGCAGACACTAATCGATCCTTTAACTCCTGGTAGCTTTGCTCACACTTCTCTGTCCACTGAAACTTGACCCCTTTCTGAGTCAATCGAGTCAAAGGTGCTACAATGCGAGAAAATCCCTCGATAAACCTTCTATAGTAACCAGCCAATCCCAGAAAGCTTCGTATCTCGGTCACGGTGCTAGGTCTCTTCCAATCAACAATTGCTTCTATCTTTGAAGGATCCACTGACACCCCTTCTTTAGAAATAACATGCCCCAAGAATGAGACACTCTCCAACCAGAATTCACACTTTTTCAATTTTGCATACAATTTATGCTCCAAAAGTAATTGCAAAATAGTTCTTAAGTGTTCTTCGTGTTCCTCCCGGCTTCTCGAGTAGATCAAAATATCATCAATAAAAACAACTACAAACTGGTCGAGATAAGACCTAAATACCCTATTCATCAAGTCCATAAAAGCAGTTGGAGCATTTGTCAATCCAAATGGCATCACAAAGAATTCATAGTGTCCATATCTTGTTCTAAATGCAGTCTTCGAAACATCTTCAGACTTAATCTTGAGCTGGTGATAACCAGACCGAAGGTCAATCTTTGAGAACACCTAGGCTCCCTTCAACTGATCAAATAAATCATTAATCCGAGGCAAAGGATATTTATTCTTCACAGTCACCCTGTTCAATTCTCGGTAATCTATACAAAGTCTCATGCTCCCATCTTTCTTCTTCACAAAAAGTACTGGAGCACCCCAAGGAGATACACTCGGCCTGATGAAGCCCTCTAACAACTCCTGCAATTGAGTCTTCAACTCCCTCATCTCTACTGGTGCCATGCGATAAGGTGCTTTTAAGATTGGCCCTGTTCCTGGAATTAAATCAATAGCGAACTCAATCTCCCTATCAGGTGGTAGCCCTGGCAAGTCTTCAGGAAAAAACTCAGGGTATTCTCGAACAATTGGAATTTCATCCAAAATGACTTCCTTCTTCTCAGTACAAACCACACTAGCAAGATAACCCTGACAACCTTTTCTTAGTAGTCTACAGGCTCGCATAGCTGAAATAATATATGGAGGTACATTAACACTCGATCCCTCGAAACAAAACTCGGACTCCCCAGGAATTCTGAATGAAACTCGCTTCTGAAAACAATCTAGAGATGCATGATAAGTAGAAAGCCAATCCATTCCAAGAATAACATAAAAGTCATGAATATCAAGTAACACAAGATTCGCAAGCAAAGTTCGATCTCCTACTATGACCTCACATCCCTTAAAGATGTGATTAGTGATCATACAATCACCGGATGGGGTAGAAACTGATAGCTCGGATTCTAAGAATTCTGGAGTCCTATCCAACTTACAAGTAAAGCTATGAGATATAAATGAATGAGAAGAACCAGAATAAAACAACACATGTGCGAGCTGAGAGGAAATAACGAGTGCACCTGCAACAACAGAGTTAGATGCGAGAGCATCCTGCTTCGTCAAAGCAAATACTCTCCCTTGTGCCTTAGATTTCTGACCATCACCAGGTGTAGGCTTAACTTTATGATCATCAGTCTCCAAGCGTCAGAGAAATCGCTAACGAGTTTGAAGGAATCTACCAACGCACTCGTACGCGAACATGAGCCATTCTCCCTATCAACTATCGGAGGTTAGTTAGAAGAACCAATTTCGATGATGAACATTCAGGCATTATGGAGTCCCAATCATCTAGCTCTTTCATAGAATATGAGAGCTCCGCCTATATGACGGGAAACTATGAAGATCTCTCAAAGAGGGTGGATGAGCAGGAGGCCATGCTCAAATCACAGCAGGAGACCCTCAATGAACTTCGGATCCTGATGACTCAATATGTCGCAGACAGGGTTAAATCTCAGAAGACAAATTCGTCGCTAAGGCAGGAATCTTCCCAAAGAGGAAGAACGTCTTCATCCTGACCTTACACAAGCAAAGGGAAGGGGAAAATGGTTGATGGAGCGGCTTCTGACCAAGAAGCCCATAACCTGGAATCTTCCTCTGATGGAGGAAGAGAGACTGAGAACGAGCAGAATCTTCAGTCTACCAAAATGAAAGAATTGGAAGCTCGCCTCAACGCCATTGCTAACAGAAGCGAGCTCCAAGACGAGGGAATTGCCAGGACCTATCCTGCCGAATGGGATGCATCCCCTTATCCTCCAAAATTTTAAGTTCCGATGCTACAAACTTTTGATGGCACGGGATCACCGAACCAACATATTTATCATTTCAAGTCACAGACTGGGAATGTGATATCAAACGACGCCATACTGGCTCGATTGTTTATTGGCACCCTTAATGGAGTTGCCTTTGAATGGTTCAGGTAACTACCTGCGGGCTGTATCCAAAAGTGGGCGGATCTAAAGAGACTCTTCCTATCAAGATTCTTTGAAGATGATACAGAAGTCTTCATCCATACCCTTCTCGCCACTAAGCAGAAGAAGAGTGAGTCCGTTAAAGCCTTCGTCAAAAGGTTTCGAAACATGGCTCTGCGATGTCCGACAGGTATGACACAGTCTACCTTAGTAGAGACCTGTCGACACAACTTGCAGACCGACCTTCTAGCACAAATGAGGGTTGTAGAATGCCGTTCCTAGAGACAACTAATTTCTCAAGGCGAACAGGCTCAAAAGATTATTGCCAGGATTAAAGCTGAAGAACAAAGTAAGCAGGATCAACCAGAGCAATCAGACCAAGCCCAATCTTCTCAGTCAGAAGAGGAAGATACTACGGCCACTGAAGCCAATCCTCTTTAGTAGGATGTTAGGTCTAACAACTATCACGT